TGGTCCCTATCCTGAGCCAGATCTATCCAGTCCATACCATCCCATCCTATCTCTCTATGATCCACTTTAATATTGTCCACCCACCTACGCCTTGGTCTTCCCAGTGGTCTCTTTCCTTCTGGCTTTCCCACAAAGATCATCACTACTGACAAATGAACAAAATACTGTGCTACTGGAACATTTACTGCAAACAGAAAGAAAACTGAATCCCACGAATATTTAAGTTAAATACCAGAACAAACACACTCTAGCTCACAAATGTTGCTAGCTAATACACAAGACAGCAGTCTAGTTACTGAAATGTCGGTTCTCATAATTTATTTCAGAGTTAATTAGGCCCTATGTACACGAGAGCCTATCTCGGAAATGATCTACTCTACAGTTTTTTGCCTTGATGTCATTGCTTGCTGATAAGGATTTATGTTTCTACGTACACAGCAACCTTCCTCGCTAAAGTTCAACCGAAAGTCAACTGAATTAGATCACAGAGTAGTAATGGCAATTCGATTCGGGTTTTAGCACTATTGCATAGACAGGTCTCTTCACACTGCAATACGCTGAAATTATTTTTTTTTTGCCTGCATATCGCTAAATAAGGCATAAGCTGCACCGACAATTGTTGGAATTGAAATATGACTAATATTTTGTAAACTACACTATTTCTTACGTAAGACATCTCTGTTTTAAAGTGATGTAATTGAGATATGAGCTTCAGGTAAGGCACGAGTTAATGGACTGGAATCAAAAGCAAATTCTCTCAACAACTTCTGGTGTACGCTTAAGACGTAAAGCTTCACCAGTTCCCTTTGAGCAGTTTCGGGGGTAAAATATGCGTATAAAAAGGCTCATCTTCGTTATCCAATCATTTTTACGCACTTCTGTAAAAAACTTAGAACTAAGTAACTTCTTTCGCTTATTTCCCGAACACTTTGTTGTTTTAATTGCGTTTGTCGTATAAATCATAATTTAACATCGCATCACAGAATTCCTCTAACTTATATTGTTAAATATCAAATATAATTACGTCAAAAAGACTAGCGCTCTCTAACTTAATACGCAGACAGAAATATTTTGTCTCTGGACATTATCCGTCGTCTTCGAGACTGGATTCTGTCTCCGTATTCGAGTAAAATCAACTCAGATAGGGACTAGCTCTATCGATTGGACTCAACTGAGTCGATTTCACCTGAAGACGGGGACATAATCCAGTCTCCGAAACGTTCTGTTCTTTAATGAAGACAAGACGACGGATATTGTCCAGAAACATAATATTCGTATTAATGTACCGTCGTCACAAACTTTTACAACTTATTTAAATATATAAATTTTAGTTTTTAAAACTTAGAACAAATACCATCACTCCTTCAATGTTTTTACTGAGTCTTTTATTACTTAAAAATGTTATTTTAGCTCAGATATTGTACAATACGGAACAGAACAATCATAATTACTGTGACAGCTGGAAATGTCACCTAATGAAAGTCGCAGGAGATTCACCTACTGGGAAACGGATATATTAAAATCTTTACCTAGGCAGCCCATCGTAAACTACATGGAAGTTCTGCGACGACGATTTGATGAATTCAGTTTATTTTGTGACGTGTATACCCATTGCTAATCAACGGCTCGGTAGATACGTGCCCGCGGTAAACACGCCTCAACAATAGAATATTTTCTGTGTGGTCCACGCCGCGACCTTTGCTATGCAATTGTGCTGTAAACAAGCCTCAACAAGAGCGAGACCCAGTTTTCCGCGTGGTCCGTGTCGAGGAGTTATACTGAAGGCAAACTGCGCTACGAGGCAGTTGAGGGTTCAGTTGTGGAGTGCTAACCAGCGTGCAACGGAAGCTGAGGAATCTCCATTGCTAAGATTCGTTACCAGGAAACGTCTACTGAAGCCATTGTGGAGAGCTGTTACTAAGTAAAGATGTAGGGATGCACTCTGCAGTGTCCGTTGTATGCATGGCGCTAGACGAGGCCCCTAGCATAGATACGTGTTAAGAGAAGTAAAACTCAGACGTACCGTGTTAATTTCGGTTTTCGGTGCATCGTGGAGACGTAGCCCTATGTTACCCTATAATGGCGTTTTAACATACGAAACACCTAACAGGAACAAGTGGTTTTAGAAAAGTGAACGTGACACGATGCTCTAGTTGAGGAAGTGTTGACGCGGAACATCATTAAAAAGTTTTCGTTCCAGACTCGACGGGGAATGGAGCAAAGTTTCACCAACCAGAAGCAGAAGTTAATGGCGTCAGGTTGCGATCCAACATTACAGTGAAACAAGTGTGTCTCTTTGCCGCCACTAACTGTCATTCATTCGCGGTCTAAGGCATGAAATGTCTTCGTCCGCTCAAACAGTGGAATCGTGGGTTCGAATGCCACCCGAGGCATGGATGCCTGTCTGTGTTCATTCCGTTTGTGTTGTCTTGTGTAGGCAGCGGCCTTGTGATGACCTGATCCACCGTCGAAAGACATAAGATTAAGAAACTGAAGGAAATGAAAACTGTTTCACATTTGCCCTATGTTCCAGAGGGAGGAACAGGAATTATTAATAACAAAAATAATAATAATAATAATAATAAATGTTGATTAGCAACAATTCTACTGTTACAACTTTCAACTCAGGAAAGATGCGCTTTCAGAATCATACTGAGCAGGTAGGCTGTGCAGGTTTGTCCTCTGAACATCAT